CTGTAAGATGCTGGGGGGGGGGCAACCCACCATCCCACCAGCCATCTCCACAGGTGCGGGCCCCCCTCTCGTCCCCAGGCCTTCTGGCAAAGCCAGGATTTAATACCTTTCCTGAAGGCCATGAGGGAAGGGGCACACCGGACCTCAGGAGGCAGGATGTTCCATAGGGCAGGCACTGCAGCAGAAAAGGCTCTCTGCCTAAACCCCACCAATCGAAATTCCCTGATCGGTGGGGTCTGCAACCTGCCCCTTCTGCTGGACTGAGTGGGACAGGCTGAAGTGACCAGGGCGAGGCGGTTCCTCAGATAACCTGGTCCCGTGCTGCAGTCTCTCTATGCTGCAGTCTCTCACTTAGTTACTGGTTTGGCTCCTATTCAATTTAAAGTGCTGTTTGTCACTTTCAAAGCCTTGCATGACTTTGCACCTGAAACCTGTAGGACCATCTCTTCTACCCAGACTTGGCCCATCCTGTGCAATGTACAAGAGAGGAAATCACCCTACAGTTGTGATTTCCTCTCTTGTACATTGCAAGTAAGGAGGTAAGGACCTAGGAACACACCTTCTGAGTGGCTGCCCCTGCTCTTTGAAATACCTAACCCTCCAAAATAAGGAATGCCTCCAACCTCTTGGCCTTCAAGAAGCTCCTGAGCATTTGGTTGCTGATGGTACTTGGGCTGTTTAATTGGATAATTCAAACTGGATAGGATATCTGTTGTTTTTATTGATTATGATTATTATTGTAAATCACCTCAAGTCCCTGTGAAATGGGCAGCCCATTATAAATAAATAAAGAGCCAAATTTGTTTCATCTCTTTCTATCACCGCATCACTCAAAGGCACTCCAACTTGCCTTTAAGACCAATTGGCTTAATAAACCAATTCCCTGGAGTACTCACACAGTTGTGATAATTCTTTCCAGATCTGCGCTAACCTGGACACTGAAAAAATTATGTCACCTGATAAACATAAGCCCTCTCTTGATATTCATGTTCCATGCCCCAAGAAACAGTATGATCTGTCGGAACCAAGGTTGCAGGTAAGATCACCAGGAATTTCATGATGAACTTATGAAAAAATGAATGAGCAGAGTAGATGAGAAGGTAACTTCCCCACTCCCAGTTTGAGCATTTCCCAATTTATCATCTCCAGGACCCATTTGGAGAAAAGCTCAAGGAGATAATGACCCAGATCTATAGTTACCTAAATATGCCCAATATGACTACAGACTTTGGTACCAAGTTATTTGAGCAGCAGATTGTGGAGCTTGAAAAGGAAGGTGAGTATTCCATAGGAGGCTTTGTAATATACATGGATCTGGAAGAAAGAAATGTTCAGTGACAGATACAATAGTTTCCTTTTTTTCCCATCCCCACCACTATGTTGGCTGTGCTACCTAGGGTTCATGGGAGTCCAAGCTTGCAGGGGATAAATCAGCTGTTGCTTCTTTGGACTTGTTATCACCACCCCTGGCCCCCAAACAATCTGCTGTAATTAACTGAAGCTGCAGAGAAGAAATTCCTGCCTGGTCTACTCAACTTTTAACCCAGAAACCTTATCCTTACTAACTTTGCTTGGATAAGATTGTTCTGTTTAGATATGCACAACAAGCTAAGAGTTCATAGATGAGATGGAGTGAAACAAATCAGTGGAAAGATAATGTGCCATTATAATGATATTTGTTCTCTTTGTGGTATTAAGGAGCAAAAGAATTTTGCCAAAAAACCCGAGTTTGTGCCCTGCATCTTCGGAAATACAATGATGCCCTGCTGACCAATGAAACTGTGCGCATGATTGATGCCTTCAATATTCTAGATAAGTTTTACCAACTAGAATGTGCTACTAAGATGTTAACACAAACAAGCGAGAAATATCTGGTCCAGATCTTTAATGGTAAGTGTCTGTCATAGTGGAAATGCTAGAGAAAATGAAGTGTCAGGGTAAAGCAGTACCAAATTGGTGGAGGTGATGATGCCATTTTCCTGATTCAGAGTTAATTCCTAGATTGCTGATTGTCCCATAGGTGAAAAATAACAACATGCTTACCAGAAATTTTCATAGAATTATAGCGCTGAAAGGACCACTTAGCCCATTTGAGTCCAACTTGCTACTCATGCAAAAAGCCAAATGAAAAGATCCTCAATTAAAGCCTCTGCATGGACACATTAATTGATTATAAAATTGCTCTTCATATTAGGACGTTTGTTCTATTATTTGGTCTGAATCTAGATACTTTGTTCTGGAACAATAGAGAACAAGTCTTGTCCTTCTTCTATGTTACATATTTTAAAGAATTTGAACAGTGATATATCCCACCCATGTCATCTTCTCTTACAATTTCACATTCCCAGTTCTTTTACTCTTTCTTCATGGGACTTACATTCTAATCTCTTGATCATCCTTCAGTGACCTTCTTAGAACCTGCTCTACTTTGTCTGAATCATTGTGTGAAGCCAAATATTTTGAACCCTAAAAAAAAAAGAAAATAGGGAGAACAGAAATGTAGGGAATATTTCACTCTCCTTGTAGTTGCCCATTACATTTTGTGTAAGCCTTGGCCTCATGAAGTAGAGTGCTAAATAAGTGAAAAGAAGGACACGGGATGTTGGGAAATTGTAAGGAGGAAAATGATTTGGTAATGGCAATAGGAGGAAACACATGCTGAAGGGAAGGGCTCCAAAGAGAAGAAATTGGAAGGAGGCAGGAATGTTAAGTATGTAAGCCATCTTGAGTTATATATAAAAAATAAAAAAGGTAGGATAAAAATATCATCATCATATTAGTGACCAACACTTTGTTCTGTCTTCCTTAGTCCCAGTCAAAATAAGAAAAGGCTGAATAAATGCAAATATTTTATTTATTTATTTATATTTATGTAGCCACCTATCTCTCATAAAAGTGACTCTGGTTGGTGTACAGCGCTTAATTAAAAACAATAAATACATAAAAACAGTCACAATTAAAAAATAACTATAAAAAGCACACAAAACAGAGGGGATGATGTTAACCACAATAAGGGTGTCAGGATCTACGCAAGCCAGAACCTTCAATTGTTTTTTTATTGCTTTTACTTTTATTGCTAAGCATAGATCAATGGGGTAATAATGGAATGGTGGGAATGTTATTTTAAACCGTTTGCTTGACCTGCCATAAAAAGGGGGGAAAGGAGGCCAGGTGCCGTTATCTTTATCTTGAAACAGACATCCAAGGCCAGGAGGTGTGAGAACCGGGGCAAGGCGCGAAGAGTTTCAAGCGGGAAAGAAAACCTAGAAGGGGGGGAAATTGGGCGTCAAAGGACAAGGGTTTGCTTTGTAGAATTAGGCTCAACAAACTATGATGCTGTACACTTCTCCTGAATAAAGAAATCTCTGATGGAACTTTTGGTCTCCAGAGGATTTACTGAACTTTGGGATTGAGTGTGCAGACTCTGACAAAAGGAGCCATTGCAAAATCTCCCCAGGCCTGATAACATAGGCAGGTCTTGAGGGACTTGCAGAATGTTGAGAGGAATGGAGCTAATCTCACTATTGAGGGGGAAGATTCCACAAGGCAGGTACTATGGCAGATGGGACCCGCAGCATGCCTTCTCTGCCAGACCTGATGGGGCGGTCCCTCAGATAACCCATCCCCATGCCATGAAGGGCTTTAAAGGCCAAAACCAGCACCTTGAATTGGACCCGGGAAGCAAACCAGCAACCAATGCAGTTCATGGAGCAGAGATGTAACGTACCACTCTAAGGGCACACATAACTGCCCGCACCACTGCATTTTGCACCAGCTGAAGCTTCTAGATACTCTTCAAGGTCAGCCCCATGTAGAGCGCATTACAGAAATCCAAACAGGAGGTGACTGGGGCATGAGTGAGAGTGAGCAGAGCCCCCTGATTTAGGAACGGGCACAACTGGCACACAATATGAAGCTGTGCAAAATACTACATGCACAGATTGAAAAGGAGCAGTTGGTTATGACTGTATGCAAATCAACTTGCTTTTATGAGTTTTCTCGTGAATGGCTGATGATTACACAGCAATATCACATAGTGGTCTGGAACCCACACTTCAAGAGGCAAAACCCATTTTTTCTCAAGTGAAGAGCCACACTTGACTGTTGAGTGGTGTACTAAGGCTTACTCTAAAAATTAAATTTGATTTGATTTCATTCCATTCCATTTATTCCATTGTTATATCTAAATGTAATTCAAATTACATGTAATTATTATAACTATCATCTAATATTTTGTTGCATTAAAAAATTCAGTTTGATAACAATGATGGAAAGGCTTTGAGGCTACATCTGCCCTAGGGTCCCCAGGCTGTGCCCCTCTGCTTTGAATAATCATCAGGATGAAACTTTTGAGAGCAAATCTGAGAGATGAAAGCATCTTCCACAACTTGGGGACCGGCACTAGTCATGCTAGTTGGAAGTATTAGGACCTGTAATCCAGGTCAGAGAAAATAAATAAGAATGAACAATAATGAAAAGATAAAACAGGAGAAGAATCAACATGGGTCACATAACTAAAACCTCAGAGGAACTTTTTGTCAGTGGAACTGACTGCAGGTTTAATTAGTGGCAATCACTGTCATCTAATCAGCCATACTGGTAGATTAGTGTTTATTTAGTGTTGGGTTATTTTTTGTTTGTGAGGTTTTGTTTTTCTTATTCGTTGCTACATAGGTTAACCTTTTGGGTTAAATGCTAACTGAGCTATAGGATCAGGAAACATAATAGATGTTTATTAGATTCAGGAATACAGTAATTCTCTTTCTGCTCATCCTTATTTGAGACCACACAGTGCATTTGGTTTGTAGAGAACAGGTTGTCTCTTCTGGCTCTTGCTGAAGATAGTCACTATGAGAATCCCAAACTTAGCAAGCTGCAACAAGTCCTCCGAGACCAATTCCAAGAACTGAAGAGCTCACGGGGCATTGTGTTCACCCGGACACGCCAGAGTGCCTATTCGCTGCATCAGTGGGTACTGGATAACCAGGCTTTGTGTAAACTTGGGATCAAGACCGATGTCCTAATTGGGGCTAGCTCCAGCAACCAGACAACGCACATGACACAGGTAAGTCTTCAAAAAACGTGAAAAGGCCTGTATTCAAAACCCAGTTCTACTGTAGGTCTAATTAGAATGAGACCCAGAAAGATTGAAAGCCAATTCATAAGTGCATGTGCACTTTGTCCTTTGTCCTTTGTCACGCCATGTGCACAACTTCATTTGATCTATTAATATTCTTTTCCAAATCAAGTATAGAAAATATCCAAAAAAAATTATTTGTGTTTGATTTGGCTTGTATGACCAACAAGGAATCTGGTCTGAAACAGCTAATTTGGCAGAAAATGTCCTATATTCCTTACCTTAATTCTAAAAGTGAACCTAGTGCTGAAGTCACTTCCACTGTTGAAATGGGCAGCTCAGTTTCTTTTTACTTGTACAGTACATGATTCAGATGGACTGGCAAGCATTAATTAAGACTTAATGCATTAGTAATAACTGAGTGCTGTGCCATGCTAAGCTAATTTTTAAAATATCTTCCCTGTTTAGTGTGGAATAGAGTCCTGTTCAGTAAATAAATACTGTAGAAATATTTTGCTTCAGCATTCTTTCAATACATAGAAAAAATATCTAGGACCCCAGAAAACACATCTCAGGGAACTTTGTCAGGATACTTCCAAAGCAGTACAATAAATGTAGCTGTAGTTTCCTGCAGTTCATGGCTAGGCTAAAACAAAGGTATATTGTCAGCCTTGCAAGGTAGACCAGATAGGAAACACGACGAGATGAGCTAATTCTGTTTTATTGTAAAGCTACATTGACAGAATCTTGCAAGTCTGAAAGTACATTTCTCCCCCGTCTCCTTTACAGCTGGAGAAACTAGGGAGAGTCTCTTCTAAGCCTCTTACCCCACCCACTAAACATTTGCAGGCTATGCTGTCTCTTATCTGACCATTCCCTTGGCAGCATCTCTGCCTAGTCTCCCAAGGTCATTCCCACATAGCATTATATACATAAAGAGTTTCTTTGAATATACAACAGTCTCACAAACAACATTGATTTTTCATGGTTTGTGGTCTCATAGTTGAATATATCAATGGACTCCAGCAACAATAATTGTTGTAGAAGTGATGTTTAGTTGTCACAGAGAGAACTTCAGTTTCACCAATCTGTAATGTTGAGTCACACATACAGGCCATCATTTGATGTAACTTAGCCAAGAAGTTACATTCGCACTTTCACATACTTCAAAGCACTTCTTTGCCTTTGAATTGGAAACCCCGCACAGCCCTGATTTGTAAGTGTTGTTGGGGAGACATCGCCTCTTTAGGTAGTTGCCTGATTTTATGCTCACCAAGGATGCCTCAGGTAGCTCACAAGAGAAAATCTTAGCAAAGTGCAGCCAGATAACAATATGATTTACTGTATTGTATTACTACAAAAGAAGAATAAATACAGCAATGCAAAATCACATTTAAGTCAAATTAAAAGTGCTATTGTCTTGGCAAGACAAAAAGCCTTCTGAAATCTACCACTGAAATGAGACTTACAGGCCTCCTTTGACACAGAATGCCTTAAGAAAAATGCTATCACAAGAAAGGTCTTGCCAGTTATAGTCTCTAGTCTACCTAGAAAAGGTGTTTGGTAAAAATGTTTGGCCAAAGGAGCCCCACCTCTGGCTTCTGGGATTAAGGATATCAGTTTCACTCCAGGGTCTAAAGAAGCCTTATATTTTTGTCTTGGGTGTTTCTTTCAGCAAGAACAACAAGATGTTATCCATCGTTTCCGAAAGGGGGCACTCAATCTTCTCTTTTCCACCAGCGTGGCTGAGGAGGGGCTGGACATCCCTGAGTGTAATATCGTAGTCCGCTATGGGCTGATGACAAATGAAATTGCCATGATGCAGGTCAGTCAGTTCTGAGAAACCTAGTTAAAATGCACCTTGACACCTACAGAGTGTCACTCAGTATGTCTAGGAAGGAAAGAAGGAGAGTTGTTATGCTGGGTCGTTGACAACAATATGAGTTCAACTGAAGACAAGGGTGGTTTTTGAGTGATCCATATGTGTTCTTGAGGACAAGTGAAACAGTAGTGGGCTGGACCTTTGGGGATGAATGCAGATGCTCTTTTTTCCCTTTCTTAAGGCCAGGGGCCGCGCCCGTGCCCCAAATAGCATCTGTTCCATTTTGGCCAAGACTAACAGCAAGGAGGTGGCCCGTGAGAGGCTTAATGAAACTTTGGAGACCCTAATGGAGAGCGCCATCACATGGGTGCAGGAGTTGCCTGAGAAAGAATACCACCTAAAGGTAAAAGGACTTCCTGGAAAGGCCAACAAAGTGCCCTTTGATGTTTAGGTTTTGAGAGAGAGTAGCAATAATATACTAGTTTGGTGGAAACACATAGTGCCAGATTCTAAAGTGCTCTGAGAATGTACTCTTATTTATTCTTCTTTTGCTGCTACTATTCTACATCAAGAGTTAAAAACTGTGTAGCATAGTCATAGCCCATAGTCCTCAAAAGCAACTCAGAAGAGAGACCATGCCAGACAAATAGTCCACTCCCACTGAGTTTGATAGTTATTTAGAAGGATCAGTGGAATTAGATTCTTCTGAGGGGGAAAAATACTTTGAGCTATTTGTTAAGGATTGGAATCCATATGGAATCTTTACATTCGGAACCCCAGTCTCAGTGTTAGCTTAGAGACATATCTGGGTACTTGTAAAAAAAAAAATTCAGGAATTTAGATGATACCAGTTGTGTGGAGTTCTTATGTGAATGTGGACCAGTTGAGCATTATAGAACATTACACTGCAGATGAACTTCTTATATGGATTTTGTAACAATAATTGCTGGAAGATTGGGGAGTTGTTTGATTTCACAACTATTATCAATTTTAGCAAGTCTTCCCTGATTATTTTCCCTTTTTCTTTAAGAGAAAGCTATTATATTGCCTATCTTTCCATAATAAAGTTTAAGAAGTTACTGATCCAGTGGGATTTTTCCAGTACAAGTAGTCTTTGGTTAACGACCACCCGTTCAGCAACCGTTTGAAGTTGCAATGGCACTGAATGCATTTTGCATTACTTAGCGATGGAAATTCTGGTCCCTTGTTAATCAAGGACTACCTGTATTGCCTATATGTTACACAAAAGACTTTTCTTGGATACCTGCAGAGTGAAACCAAAATATACTGCCTGCTTCTCATCTACATGGAATACAGATTCTTTGACTCTTTCCTGTAGATTGTGAAGTTGCAGCATGAAGCCATGATCAGCCGGAAATTGCGGGACGCCAAATGTGAGAAGCAACGGCAGCTACACGATCCAGACAGTGTACGTCTCTGCTGCCTCAACTGCAACATGGCTGTCTGCCATGGCAGTGACCTGCGCAAAGTAGAGAATATGCACCATGTCAACATCAGTTCCAACTTCAGGTGAGGGAAGGTAGAGGTGGCTCGGAGCGCTGTGCTTTTGGAGTCTGTTTGCTTATAATAGCAGGAAGCATCTTGCTTTCTCCATTTTGATACCAAGGTGTGTCCCAACACTCCACATCAGCCTTCCTCAAGCTGATGCCTTCCAGATATGTTGAATTTCCCACCTTAGGCATGAAAGCCCAACTCACCTCACGGGGTTGTTGTTGTGGGGAAAATAAGAGGAGGAAGGAATATTAGGTATGTTCACCACCTTGAGTTAAAAATAATAATAAAGGTGACATTTAAAAAATCTTTAAAAAATAATTATCTCCCATGAATGGAAGCTGTCAGAAATGGGAATTGATATCCCATACATGGAGAGCACTGGTTGGAGAAGGCTAGTCCTTTGCTTCAATTTCAGATACAGATATAAATCTTCCTTGATTTATAGCATAGACATCAAGGAAAGAAAATCACTTCAGCTCTTGCTCTTTGAGGGTCTCCTGTGGTCTTCTGCCATGCATGTGCATACCCAGAACATAGTTCAGCTAAGAGCGTGGGTGGATGTTCCCCAGGAATGGATCTAGAGGGAAAATGTGCTTACAAAGTATCTCATCAAATATTTGTACAGCCCCATTTATATAAAAAGGCATGTTAAAAGTATAAAATAATATTAATAAAAATAAATGTTAGCGGTATGTGTACAGAACATTGCTCTTAATATAGGAAGAGAAAGGCTCAGTAAAGAACCCATTTCCCCAAGAACTGACAATCAAAGCTTGATATTCTCAAGAATTGCACACCCAACTGCCTTTGGAATGAAACATTACAATCAGAGTGCCCAATTTTTCTCTATATAGCCTGTATTACAAAACGTCACTCAACCATGTGTCGATTGCCCGCGAGTTCAAAGACTGGAAACCAGGGAGCTCCATCAGTTGTAATAAATGTGGGCAGGTAAGCACAGCTTGAATTCATTTTCTAATTATGCTTGCTTGAAAGTAAATATTTTGCTCCTTTTTTTTTTAATGAAAAAATAGGTGTTGAAGAGGAGAAAGTGGCAAGCCAGTGGGAAGGACTAGGCAGATGGCCTTTGAATTTAATTTCTCAAATCAGACTTGTTTCTAAAATCCCATGTTTTAGAAACTTGGGTATCTCAGATTCTGTAAAGATTCCATCAGCTGGATCAGACCTTAATTTCTTTAATGGCAGACCTCAGTCAAGTTCCCCTTTGATGATGATTATTGGCTGTTTTGGGCTTCCATAAAAGATCTTGCAAAACTTGTTAATCAAGTACAGGAGTTTAACAGGCTACGCATGTAGCTGTCTCTTGATTTGTGGAAATCAGAGTTTGAAACCAAAGCTTGTCATGAGTTTCAGAAAATACAGTGGGTCTCGGGTAACTTTCCATGCTTGATGGTTGTACACTTAGGAGAGCTTTACATTGGCTTAGTTTGACATGACGACACGGTAGATAATTACCATATTTTTCCGTCAATAAGATGCCCCATGTACAAGACGACCCCCACTTTTCCAACCCAAAATTAAGAAATCAGTATTTTAAAGATAGTGCAGAATACAT